GAATGTAGCCAGTCTTTCCCCTGCTGGTTTGGAGGGCTTTCCTTGGATTGAACGGAAAGACCGCCATCTCTCCGTGATCAACAAGGCACCCCTCCTCTTCATCGCCTCTTCAGGGCGACTTTAGGCCCTTTTTAGGGCCCCCAGCAGGGTGAAATCGGGAGTGGAAGACAGAGCCCTGCCTTCCTGCATCCCATTTCACTGCGACACAAACCGGAAGTCTCCTCAACATGTAGTCCTTAATGAAACTAATGAAACAGGTGGAAGACCTCCAAGTCTCTTCCAACTCTGTTATTCTCTTACTTGAAAGTAGTAAATTGTTATTGCAGTTATTATTGATTAATACTGTAAATTGTATCAGGCATGAGTATGCATATAACTTTCTGCTTTTTATTAAAACAACTTCAAGTTTATAAGCAAGTCTGGGAAAAAAAGATGCTACTTAAAATAGATGCTTATCTTAAAAAATTGGCATTTTTTCAGGCTTGCATGGAAACTTAGAAAAAGAATGGAATTTTTTATTGAATACTAGAATAGTGCTGCTCTCATGTGAGGTCAAATTAGATCTAAAACACTTCTTTCAAATAATTTTGAAATGATACCTAAAAATAATATATTTTAAATTGACCATTAAGATTATTCTTTCTAGCTTGTTTTTAAGATAATAATGCTAAAAATAAGTTGCATGAACTGTAAAAGTAGTTTATTTTTAAAATATTTTTTTTAAATCGATAATAAATGAAAAAAGAAAACAAGAACTAAGGAATTCAGTACAAGAAAAAACAAGATAAACAAGAAAATCATTAAAGGGTAGAGATAATATAAACAGAAATGGATATAATGAAATAAAATTATCACTTTAACTGATGTATTAACTGAAAAAAACCTCTATTTCTCTAGTGCAGTTTACTGATTATTTAGAGCAAGTATTGAATTATATTCTTGAATCTGTTTATTTAAAATTGATGTTGCATTTTTCTGGCATAATGTTCAATCTTAGAAACATGTAAGAACAATTGAAAATAGTATTTGATTTTTATATGTATGGCATATAACTAGGCACCAGATCAGTGGAGTTCCCAATGGTTGTCCTTTATTCTCAGCCCACTCAGCCTACTCAACAGCTTCAGCCTCCAGGCAGGCATTCCCCATTATTGAGAACAATGACCCGATCATGGATAACTATCAAAATGTCTTAGCATACTTTAGAAATATTTTGGAGATCCCACCCAAGAAGACAGCATAACATGCATAATTCAAAAGCCCTAACAAGGCAGCCAGAGAGTAAGACTCTATACCAGCAGTTCTCAACCTGTGGGTCGCGACCCCATTTGGGGTCAAATGACCATTTCACGGGGGTCACCAAACAACGCAGTCTGCTATTCCCCCCCCCCTTTCCTTAACTCCCTCTTATTCTATTGGCTTTTGAAAGCCAATAGAATAGACTCTATTCAAGAGACTCTATTCTATTGGCGTTCGAAAGCCAATAGAATCTATTGGCTTTCAAAAGCCAATAGAATAGACTCTCTTGAATAGAGTCTAATTCTGTTGGCTTTCAAAAGCCAATAGGAATTGTCCAGGCTATCTCTGCCCTGCTGAGCCCGTCAAAAGTCCCAGTCTGCAGACAGTGCTGCAAGTTGTCTGCAGCTAAGGCGAGCTTTCTGGACGTTTCCACCCCTCCCTGCTCAGCAACTACTAAATGTAAGTAAAAGAGGGCCGGGGTGGGAGGTGGGAGGCTGGCGGGTGCAGGGAGGGTTGCTGGCGCATGTGGGGCCCGGCGGGTGGCTTACCTCCCTTGGGCTGCGCCAGCTGGTGGCCCAGCCAGTGGTCGGCCTGCGCCCTCGCTGCCGCGTGCCATGGTCACCCAGGAGCGCCTGGGCCTGCCTCCTGCTGCACCAAACGTGCGGTGGCCAAGGTAAGGCTAGCGGGGCAGCAGCGGGTGCAGGGAGGGTTGCTGGTGTGTGTGGGGCCTGGCGGGTGCCTTACCTCCTTTGGGCTGGGCCAGCTGGTGGCCCAGCTGGTGGTTGGCCTGCGCCGTTGCTGCCGCTTGCCAGCTACGGCTCGGCTGGCGCAGGGGGTGGCACCACGCATGCGCGGTGCTCCTGGGCTGAGGCGGTTGCTGGGTGACTGCCTGCGTGCATCCTTGGCCTGCCCAGCGTGCGCTCCAGCCGCAGGAGAGGAGGCAGAGCGTGCACGCCTCCTGCCCCGCCCGCAGGGAAATACGGTAGTCCTCGACTTACGACCACATGGTTGGGGGTCGCGGCATTAGGAAGGTTGAGAACCACTGCTCTATACTGAAGAATTCAAATTGGTTGCAGCAAATACTTCAGACTAGAAATTGGAGATGTTCTTATACAAAAAGATGTGGGCAGAGAAGAAATGCCTGTTGTCCTGCACTTTTTCTCAAGAATGGAATTATAACATTTTTAACAAGGAGCTCCTAGCAATTAAATCCACATTTGAACAATGAAGACACTTTTTAGAAGGCACACCTTTTCCCATAGAGTGCAATACAGACCACAAGAATCTACACATCTTACAACAGACCAAGCTGCTTTCACCCAGGCAAATAAGATGGAGTCAATTCTTCTCATACTTTGATTTTTACATTTCAGTATGTCCTGGTCTCAAATAACCTGATTCCAAATGTTCTTTCTTATAAGCCACAGTATTCTCAAGTTCAACATACTCTAGTAGCAACAACAATCTTGGAGGCTTCTCATTTCTGGATGCACCACATACACATCCTTGGAAAGTTGGGAGAAATTTAGTTTTCTTGGGCTCAGATGGATGACCTCAAAGTAATCCCATCACTACTGTGTCCCTTTTCCCCCTCTTTCAGGGAAGAAATTTCTATGATAACCAGAGAGCGAGTATGGGGGAGTGTTCAAAACCCTGCTCAGAACATTAAGAGATTTTTGTTAGCCTAAGGTGACAGTGGACATCAAGGACTATGTGGCCTCTTGCCATATATGCAGGAGAGCCAAGTCCCTCCATGAGAAGCAAGATTTTTGCAACCCTCCTCACACACAACTGTCCACAACCTGCAGTCTTTCTACACGGTTACTGATTTACCCCTGGTCCAAGGTTTCATGGCTATATTGGTGGTGGTAGATCTTTCTGTCTCTGTTTTCGAGCAACTGCTACCTGATTCACTAGCTGCTTCAGAAGCAGGGGAGGAAATTTTCATTGATATGGCTTCGCTGACTCCTTTATCAAGTTCCCATGAAAACTCAAACTTCAAAGAGACTATACAGGAGAGAGAGAGAGAACAGCTTTGAAGAACCCATGGAGAAGGGATGGGGCCATGTTAGAGGGGGGAGGGATGTAAGAGATGAGCAGGCTTAGCCAGAAAATGGGATTAGACATGTCGTTAATTTGGAATTGCTACGCTCCCACAAGAGATCCAAGTCCAGCCCCCCATGAATTATATTGACTCTTATCTAGCACCAATTTCACTTGAGAGTTAATAGATTAGATTCTTGTATATAGGTTCCGTGTACTAAATCTTTACTGCTTTGAACTCAATTCCTGTTCCTGGTTATTTGTGCCTGACAATGACCTTTATTTAGTAACTGATAAATTATTAGAATTTGAAGTATACATGCCTAGTTTTGTACCCTTTTTTGGATCCTACTGTTATATCTTATATATGTGGAGACTTTTCTTGCCTTTGAAGAACTCTAATGCAATATATCAGGGGTCCCCAACCCTCGATCCATGGACCAGTACCAGTCTGTGGCCAGTTAGGGATGTGTGTGTGTGTGTGTGTCCAAGTTTGCAAGCCAGGCGTGTTCCTACTTGGCTTGCAAAGGGGGAGGGGACAATCTACATTTCTCCTTATCTACATATTTTCCAAGACTGCTGGGTGCTTGCGCAGTGCTGAGTTGATTTGGTCTCTCTCTCTCTCTCTCTCTCTCTCTCTCTCTCTCTCTCTCTCTCTCTCTCTCTCTCTCCCCCCTCCCTCCCTCCTCTCTCTCTCTCTCTCTCTCTCTCTCTCTCCCTCCCTCTCTCTCTCTCTCTCTCTCTCTCTCTCTCTCTCTCTCTCCCCCTCCCTCCCCCCCCCTCTCTCTCTCTCTCTCTCTCTCTCTCTCTCTCTCTCTCATGGTGTTCTCAGCACTTCCTCAACATTCTGGGTTTTGCTGGAAGGATGAGTTTAGGATTGTCCTTTCCTTCCTACTTTCTTAGAAGCAGAAAGTCACTGATCTAATCTAATACAATGTAATAATAATAGAAATAAGTGCATTATTTATTAGTTTGTTTATTTAGAAAATTTTCAATAAATATAATGCACTTGAATCATCCCGAACCCCCCCTCTCCGCCACATCCCACCCAACCCTGGTTCATGGAAAAATTGTCTTCCATGAAATCGGTACCTGGTACCAAAAAGATTGGGGACCTCTGCAATATATTCAATGTAATGTGAAACTTATTTATTTTCTACTTTTACTTAATTACAGAAAAAAACATTTAAAAGTTGCTGGTGTGTGTGTGTGTGTGTGTGTGTGTGTGTGTGTGTGTGTGCATGTATTTAGTTGCAGGGCCATTTATTTCTATATTCTGTTCATCTAGTTTAAATAGGAAAACTATTAATGCCTGATGTAATGAGAGATTTGTTTTTCAGCTGGCTTTTCAGCATGATGCTGATTATAGCTGTGAGAGAATGACTGGTCCAAGGTCATTTAGTTGTATTCTATGCTTAAAAGATAATTAGAACTTGATTTTTCCCACTCCTAGTCCAGCAGGCTAACCATTACAATACTGGCTCTCCACGAATGAAATTAATATAAACATTATATTAAATGGGTTCTAAAGGATTGTTGATTCAGCTTGAAAACTGAAAACAAGGACATTAAAAGGGATGGTATGCTAAAGGTAGGCTAGATTAAACTTCTTGGAATATAGGAAATTTATTGGGACAATTTTCAAGGTGAAAAATATAGTACTTTATGCATTAAAATGTTTTCAAAGTTTGAAATTTTTATTATTTGTTCTTGAAAAGATTATATAACCAACACAATGAATGCAACAAAACAAAGGAAACAAAATCCAATTGACATCTCATCTCCTGGAACAAAGAAGAAAGGAAGAATGTATAACAGATATGAAGCTAACCCAATGGTTTTAGTGCCTGCAGCTCCCAAAGAAACCATTACACAATATTCTCTGGGTCTTACATCAGGAAATAAAGATAGAATGTTTGATGAAATGGACATGCTTAGGAATATTACAAAACATCTAAATGAGGTAGGTTAATCATTAACATTTATTATTTGATTTTTATTCCTTGTTTGTATTTAATTAAAAAGGCAGTGAATATACTACTGCATCTTACATTACTCACAGCCACAACTCTGTAAACAGATATCTCATTGAAGTCTTGGGAGACTCTTGGGTTGCCAGATGTGAAATAGGCCTTGGTCTATAGGCTGTAAATGTCTTCCATGTGCTGTTTGCTTCTGTTGACCAGCTTTAGGCAACGTTGCCTGGCTGAATAGCCAGCTTGGAAGCAGGCTGAGGCCTGTGGAACCCTGAAGTCCACAGGAACCCTGAAGTCCACAGGAACCCTGAAGTCCAGGGAGAAGAGCACCAGGTGCCTCAGAGATGGGGAAGCCTTGGGAGGCCCAGAGAGGTTTGCAGGAGTGTGATAGGATCTGGGCATGTGGTGGGCCTCCTCACCCTGTGGCACCTCATATTCTACCTAATGATCCACATATTTATTTAATGATTGCATTTGGGAGAGCAGGGATGGGGTTGTTAAGTGAAATGCTTCACTTAACAGCCATCGTGACATATGACCATAATGGGCAGGTTCTATTGTGCTCCTAAGTTGAGGACTACCTGTATATTTTGAAAGGACACATTATAGAAGATGAATGTATTTATATAATAAAGAGTATTTGCTTTGGTTTGATTAATGGATTTTTCTCTTGGAATGAACAAAGGGTATTGCCATAAAAATATGACTTTAACAATTGAAAGGATTTGTCAGACTTATTTAATAAAAATATTCTTTTTGCTGAATCTTCATTTTCTTGCTAAAATCCAAAACCAACCGTGCAGATTGAGAATTATTATTATTTATTACTTGTTAAATTTATTTGCCACCTACCTCAACATGGGGCTACTCTAGATGGCTTACTGCAATAGCAATAAGAAATGAAAAGAGTGTAAGCAGAAGTAAAATAATAGAACAATAAAGCAAACAATAAAAAATGAAATTGAAGAGAATGTTTGAACAATATAGCTTATGGCTGCTTTGAAAAGTCATCTTTGGGCTCTAATTGGGGATGCAGCAAATAATGGGAAAATAAATCACGTAGTACTTGAATAATGGCAATTACTTAGTTTAATGTACTTTTTCAGAATGTTTTATCTCTCTGATGTAAAGGCAGATCACAGCATATAGCTGGTCTGGAAAAAAAAAGGTTGGTAAAATGGATGGGAACTATTTGAAAATCCCATAGTTGTAAGTGAACTAAGTAATTGAAAAAAGGATTGAAAAAAAAAAAAAAAAAGAAAGATATTGAGCTTGATTATTTGTTTTTAATTGTTTTCATGTTTTGTTTATATTGTGGTTTCATTCTGGAGGGTTTTTTTGGTATTGTTTATGTTTTAATTGTAAGCTACTTAGAGTCATAGATGTGAGATGGATGGATATATAAACTAAATAAAGAAATAAATGCTAAGTAGTTTTGTATCATTGTCAAGAAAATCTGATATGTATATTTTGTCCTTAGTGATCAACCTTGACTTAAGGCAATGTTTTCTTTTATAATAGTATACATTCTGAAAACTACAGATTGTTGAACACAAATGCATAAAAGTTACTAAAACTAAAAGAAAAGAGAAGTCTATCTTAAATAAAACTTGATGATCTAGGATTCTAACATTAGGAAAATAGGAAGCATTGCTAATGAGAGATTAGAACATTATTTGAAATTTTTTGCAGATTGTGCATACAATGGAAGGTGTCTATATAAAGGAAGGTGAAATTAAAGAAAGTAAAGAAGAGGAAGAGGAAGAAGAACTACCTGTAAATAATATTACATGCTGTTTGAATAGCCTCATTTTACCATGAATGATATTGGTTTTATGCTAAGCAAATATTAATTAGAAGTAACAAAAGATGTAGTACAGGTAGTCCTTGTTTAATTATCACAATTGAGACCAGTAACTTGATCATTAGGTGAGGTGGATGCTAAGTGAAACCGCAATTCTGCTTATGATGTTATTTGAGCTTTCCTTTGGTTTACCTGCAAAGATTGTAAGTGAGAGGATTGGTGACACAATTACTTTTTCATCACTATTGAATGGTCACTATACAACACAGTTGTTAAATAAGGACTAGCAGTTTGTTCTGAATGATTATGTTGTGATTAGCCATAACTACTATTAATTTAGGCTCCTTGACTTCAACAACTTGCGATCTAAATTCTGGGCTCTATTGTGGTCATAAGTCAAAAACTACTTGTACAGTGCTACCATAGGCTTTATGTGAGGATATTCTTGAAGACAACTCAGAAGCTAAAATTGGTGTAGAATATAACAACCAGTTTTCTGACTGGTTTAGCAGTATAATACTTGTTCTGCAGGAACTGCATACTGTATGTTACCAGTAAAACTCTATTTTAAGCTTCAAGTGAATACTTGAATCTGCAGGATTGTTTTCTTCATGTAGAATCTGCCTAATCTATATGTGCTAAGTGAGATGGTTCTTTGCTTGCTGCCTAAAAAAAAATAAAAATCAGAAGGTTTGGAATCTAGAAATTAAGCTCATCATCCCCTATGGGGCAATTTCCTTCTCTAATAATATCCTTATTTTGATGATGTTCCAGAAGGTGATGAAAATAGTTTTTATTAAGGGATATTTTAATGTAGGATGGCAGCTATGCTTTTATTTATAGTTTATATCTATATTTATTATGTGGCTTTATGAATAGATTTTTTATTTTATTAATGTTTTATCTGTTGTAAGTCCCTTAAAATCAAAAAAATATGCAACATATACATTTTAGTAAATAAATAGAAATAATTTATTCATTGGAACCTATCATGTCAGTTGACATAGGATTATGTCCTAGCTAATATTTTTATTCTTAATTTACTTGTTATAGATTAAGTAAATGCTGTCATTACTTCATGAAAATGATAGAACTTGTAAATTGATTTTAAAAATAAGAATTGTAAAAGATTATTACAAATCTCAGAAAAAAAATTCCCTAACAATATTTTAAAAATATATTATATATATATATATATATATTTTCTCATTGGAAGGAAGATTATGAAGATATGACTTCTTTCCTGATATGTTGTTCACAACTTAGGACACAATTAGAAAATGCACTTCGTGAAGAAAAGCAAGTATGTATAATGTTTATTGTACTGTATAAGTATTAGATTTTATTTATTGTTAATTGTGATGTTTAGTTATACTTGAAAAAAATCAGCTATAGTGTATATAATAACTACCAGGTTTTTTTGAAATTTAGAATAGATGTGGAAAGATGCTTCTCTGCCTTTAAAAGCATAGCTGCCTTTAAATTCAGTTACATCAAGGGCAATTTCACTGCCACAGAATTATTATCAGCTATATTTTTGCTAGCTGTAGATTATAAAATGAGCAGCCTTCTGTTTCAATACAGTGCTAAGCACATGGTAAATTCCCTTCTCTATTGCAATGAGGGGACTCCAAAATTACAAAGGTCAACCTAGCTAAATAATTTATAAGAGAAAACCCTTTTCCTGCTCAAGCTAACAGAAGGAGGCATCATTTGGAAGTTTAAACATTTCTCATTTTATTATCCATTATTCTACTTTGCTCTCTTTGTGGAGTGTTAAGATATTGTCATTGCGTAGTCTTTAAGTGATTTTTTTTCTTTTCACTTAGGCTTGAAACATGTACTTTTTAAAAATTCTAGCAATTTCAGAATTATCCAGTATCTCAATATACTACTTTGAAGTTATAAATTAGTTTGGTGCTAGTTCACTATCAGTCTGTTTACATTTTGCCCTGAAAACTTAATAAACTGATTTATTTGGTATTGCATAAGTGAGCAATCAACTTTTCTATAAGTTGTGATTATTTTGAAAGGGGTTTTGCTTTACACAGCAAGCAAAACATTTTGTGTGTTATTTTGTAGTGGTGGTAATGGTGGTAGAAGAATAGGTTTCAGTTCAATGTCAGTTTGGATAATTGAAAATGATTTCATTTAGCTTTTTTTTTCTCCCCTCAATTTCCTTATGCATATAAAATCTCCTTGGAATACATTGTAGGAACATATGACTATTCTGGGAAGAATTATCTAGAACAAATCTGAAGGATTTTATTTTTGAATGAAAAAAAAAGATAGTTTGGACACTTTACCCATCTTTAAAAAATAAATTGGATGTTTAATAAAGATTAAACTAATGTTTGAAGGACCACATTCCTGCTAGCAATAATCCTACCATGAATCTGTTGAGGGTTAAATATCTAAATTCACTGTAAACAAAATTTTTGACATAAGATGTTTTTTTATTTGTAGTCATCATCAAATTATAGGTAGTCCTTGATTTACAATAGTTTGTTTAATGACCGTTTGAAGTTATAATAGCACTGAAAAAAGTGACTTATGACCGTTTTTCACACTTACAATCATTATAGATCCCCCTGGTCATGTGATCAAAGTTCATCTGATCACCTTTTGCAATCTTCTGACAAGCAAAGTTAATGGGGAAGCCACCTTCACTTAATAACTATATATTATACCTTTACAACTGCAGTGATTAACTTAACAGTTGTGGCAAGAAAGATTGTAAAATAGGGCAAAACTTACTTAACAACTGTCACTTAGTTGCAGAAATTTTGGGCTCAAATATGGTTATAAATTGAGGACTACCTATATTATTTTGAAGGCTTAGATGCTACTGCCCGTTATGAAAAAAAAAACACAAACCATGAAAAATAAAAAGCAAAGTAATGGAAAAGATTATACTTTCTAGGTATAGTTTTTCCTCTAAAGTGGAATATATTTTTTGATTATAAAGAGAAATATATATTATTTAATACTGTAATAATTTTTATAGAAAATCATCCTTGAAAAAATTGAAAATGAATTTGTTTATTAAACAAATATTTAAATTGTCATAAATAAAATTGGTGGTGATTTATAATATATATTTTCTTTCTTAGATATTAGAGTCATTGCTTAAGGTAAGAAACTTTTGATATGTATCTTTAAAATATTTTATTTTATAAAAATGTTATCTGTTAATAATTTATTTTATTTTATTTTTTTCTCTCAAGTGGTTTGAAAAGGAGGTCCATGAGATGGAAGAGGTAAGCCTAGAATTTTGATTGATAAGATCTAACAGAAAATATTTAGAAATATGTAATAACCATATGAATTGTTTCTATATGTATTGTGCTGTTTCTTTTTATGTTTAATTTTAGAATATAAATAGAAGGACACAATATAAGGCTAAGACTTTATTATTTAAGCAGGTATAACAGAAATTGGGATTAATCTTAACATAATTAAAAATATTTCTATAATAATTGCCAATATATAAAAACAAAAAGGACCACATTTCAAACCTATTTTCCATATCAATCATCCAAATTCCACTCTTACTAATTCACTTATTAAGGCTACTCTACTAGTATATCATCTCTTCCTTCCACTACTAAACATAAACCACATATTCCCAGACACTTAATAATGTTCTTCGCCATCATATATTTATGTGCCTTTTCATTACTTCAGTGTGCCTTTCTTACCAACAATCCCATAAAAAATCCTTTTACTTTTCCCACCTATCCTATCTCTAATTAAAGAGGAGAATACAGCACTTGTGTCTAATTGCAATTCAGAGATAAACAAAAACGCCTGATCATATTCAGGTAGGAATTTCTCTTCAGGACTTTTCTACATATTCTGCATGGAAAATATACTACACTACCTTGGAGCAACCAAAGCTACTCTGTGCTGCTTCAGGCCATCACCAAGGGGTTTCCAGAATGTCAACCTTCTTGCATGTAGGGTGATTTATCATAACTATAGTGATAGTACTTTTTCCAACTGCAGTGGCAAGGGAGGCTCTGGTGGTCTCCATTACCATGGCTAGTCTGGGGCAGGGGAGAGATCACTGGTGCCTCAAATATTTGCCCCTGCCCTGCTTTCTTGAATTTCTTTAGAGCAGGGGTGTCCAATAAGACTTGTGGACTTCAAATCCCAGAATATAGCCTGAGCCTGCAATGATGAAGTGAGGAAAGCTAAGGTTCAAAATGAACTAAGGCTTGCAACAAAAATAACAAAAAAAGCTTTTCAACATGTAAAAAACAAGAAAAAAGTTAAGGAAATGACGGGTCCATTAGTGGAGAAAGTGGCAAGAAGGTGACAAGCAACAGGGAGAAAGCAGAACTATTTAACTTGTTTTTTGCATCCGTCTTTACATAAAGGGAAAAGACAGTCCAACCTATCAAAAAGAGTACCATAAAAAACAAATTAGAAACACAAGTTAAGATAGGCAAGAAAATGGTAAGTGAGCACCTGTCCACTCTGGATGAGTTCAAATCACCAGGACCAGATGGATTACACCCCAGGGTACTGAAGGAACTGGCAGAGGTGATCTCAGAACCATTGAACTATATCTTTGAAAGATCCTGGAGCACTGGGAACTATCAGAGGATTGGAAAAGAGCTGATGTAGTTCCCATCTTCAAAAAAGGAGAAAAAATGGATCAGGAAACTACAGACCCATCAGCCTGACCTCAATACCTGGGAAGATTCTGGAAAAGATAATCAAGCAACGAATTAGCGAACATGTAGAAGCAAACAAAGTCATTACCAAAAGTCAACATGGGTTTGTCAAAAACAGATCATGCCAGACAAATCCTATTCCATTGTTTGACCAGGTGACAAAATTATGGACTAGATGAATTTTCCTTTCACATAAATGCAATATTTTAAATATTATTATACATAATTTTATGAAATTTTGCTTTTATGTTATAGGTAGTCCTTGACTTATGACCACTGTTGAGCCCAACATTTCTGTAGCTAACTGAGACATTTGTTAAGTGAGTTTTGCTCCATTTTATGACTTTCTTGCCACAGTTAAGTGAACCACTGTGGTTGTTAAGTTAGTAACATGGTTGTTAAGTGAATCTGGCTTTTCTATTGACTTTGCTTGTTGGAAGGTTTCAGAAGATGATCAAATGGTCCCAAAACACTGCAACTGTCATAAATATGAGTCAGATGCCAAGTGTCTGAATTTTGATCACTTGACCATGAGGAGGCTACAATAATTATAAATATGAAAATCAGTCATAAATAATTTTTTCAGTGCTGTTGTAACTTTGAACAGTCACTCAACAAACTGTTGTAAGTCGAGGACTACCTGTATATGTTTTACAACAGCTTAATATTGTATAGATAGTTCTGCTATAATGATATACACATTATTTGAAGCAGTGAATGTTGTGTTTCTTTCAAGCTAATTGAGAAAAACTCTGTTAATATACAATAGATTACAATAATACTTTGTTATTTAACTATATTTCAGATAGGTGAGGAAGAAATTATACCAGATTGGCAAATTCCTCTAGCAGATAAAAGCATAACAAATAATATCAATCAGTTACTGAATCGCATTCAAAGACTTGAAGAACTAAAAGGCCGTGTTCAAGAGCTACCCAAACTTATTCAGCTTTCCATACCTAAACAGTAAGAATACCATGAAACAGAGTTATCATTAAGAAATTATAACAATAATATAAAATATGTTTATTGTAAAAAATATTATTAAAAATAAATAAATCTGTCTGCTCCGCTAAATAGCCAACTTCTGATGCAGCCTATCAAGAAGGGTGAGGCTTTCTCCTTGAAAGTAATCTGGCTGACTTTTGCTGCTCCTTTTCTCTTCTTATGTGTTTTGGATCAGGTGCAGAAGGCATTTCTTTTTCCTCCTCCCTGACCAGCTGCAACTGCATGCTTTCCCCTCTGATGCCTCAGGGCTCTCCTCCTGCAGTGTGCTTCAGCCAAATCACTCTCAGATGGCTGCGTGGAGCCATTGACCAAGTCCTCTCCTGACATGCCAGCAACTTGTCCTCCCCCAAGCTGACATCTGAACAATTATCTGGGGAAGCGTCCAGGGGATCATCACACTGATGCTCCACTGGACCCCACTCCAAAGTCCTCGGAGCCAATTTATTTATTTATTTATTTATTTATGAGACTTATATACCGCTTTTAAGTGCAAGCACTCTCTAAGCGGTGTACACCAGTAAGCACTGTATATATATTTTTTACATTGCCCCCAACAATCTGGGTCCTCATTTTACCTACCCCGGAAGGATGGAAGGCTGAGTCAACCTTGAGCCGGTGAGATTCGAACCGCTGACCTGCTGAACAGAGTCAGCTAAAGTGGCCTGCAGTACTGCACTCTAACTGCTGCGCCACCTCGGCTCTTTGTCAGAGAAAGTCAAGTATAGTGCAGCATAGCATAATATAGAGTAGATTAGAGTAGGGTAGAGTAGAGCATCTATATTATAGTACATACAGCAAATAATTCAAAAGTGATTTATAAAGCAGCCCATATTCCAGAATTGAAAGCAATTTGTATAGTAACAGTATGATTAATAATTTTGACTGTATTCTCAGCTTATTTTTAAAAGCACCATTAATACACAACAATTTGCAGTGATTTTACCATCAATATTGCCTGCACATGGGTACGCCCAGCTCAGGCAGGTTGCCACAAGGCATATACATTTTCCCCCAAGATTTAAACCATGCAGTGCGCTAATCAGTAGCTGGAGTCACAGTTAAGATAATACTCTGTTATTTTGTGTTAAAATAATCACAAATATTCAGACATTTTCTCCTGAGCTTGTTCTTTCTCTTACAATTACTTCTTCCCCGATTCCCAATAGATAATCAGTTCCTTCAATCTCACTGGTCTATACTAAATAGTATTTTCTGCATAGGTTTATGTTCCTGTTTGTTCTTATTTGATGTTTATTCTTAGAGCACAAAATGAATAATACCTTTTACATAAGATATGTTCAAATTATTATAACCCATTATATTACTTAAGGTATTATATTAACCAAGATAGGATTGTACTTTTAATATAAATATGTAAAAATGTAAAAGTTATGCTTAGAACTTTGCTGAATTGACAGTGAGTTTGTAAATCTAGATTTAATATTACCAATACTGTATGTTTTGACAGGGAAAAGAAAAAAGCAGTAAGCCCAACACCTCCCACTCCAAAAGATCCAAAAAATATAATTGAAGGTAAGAATTCTGATTTATCATGGATGCCAAGGCATCAAAAAAAATTATTTTGAAAAGTGAGTTTGGCTAATGTGGATAAAAATGAAAATGCTGGATAGGCTAAAAGCAGAACTGATTGACTAGAAGCTTGGAAAAAAATGGATAGTTTGTAAGATAATAACTTTTATTCTGATGTATTTGAATCTTATAAAGGCAATCCTCAAGTACTAGAGTTGATTTAATGACCATTCAAAGTTATAACAGACCTATCAAAAGGTATATATGACCCTGTTTCAAAGTTAAGTATTGTACAGAACTCTCTCGGTCATTTGCCCTTATGACCAACCACTGAGATGCTTCAGCCCATCCACCTATCTATTTCCCCCCCTCCCCATCCTGCCATGCTGGGTCTCGAAAAGCACTGGGCCTGCTTTACCCCCCTACTGGATTCCGCACAGTCCTCCAACCTTCACAATGCTTACTTACCTTATGAAGATCTGCAATGCTCAAGGTGGGGGAAAGGAAGGAGATAAGACCTGTTTTGAGAATTCCAGAAATGCCTTTTTTCTTTTCTATTATTTAAAAACATGTTTATTTATTCTTTTATCATCAAAGATAAAATACAAAACAAAGAAAAGAAAAAATAATCCAGACTAACAAGCAACCAACACTAACAACAACAACAACAACAACAACAAAATGTACAAAAAAAAAAAAGTATCAAGTACATCAAAAGTTAAACATTAGAAAAAAAATCCTGGCTGAATGCTGAAAGATACATTAGAAAACTTATATATGTTCTCTTAACCTTGCATAATGGGTACACAAATGGGTATATAAACTTTCCCATCTGTATTTAACAAAAATGTTATATTACATAAACAAATATCTCTGATGTGGAAATCTATCTAATAATCAAATCGACCAATATTTTTTTCATCCTGAGGATGTGTTTTGAAACCCGAGTTGCTGTAATTCTGGGCAAAGGACTTCTTTACCTCTTAACTCTGCATTGTTTGTTTTCTGTATGGTCAGAGCCAGCTCAGATTTCAAAATGTGTGCTTCCTGATTTGCCATGTTATTTCAAAAAACACAGACTTTCCCTCGTGCTGTGGCTGGATGGAAAAAGCCTTTTAATCCACCTTTTGGCACCTGGACTGCCTCTGAGAACACAGAGAACAAACTATACAAAGATGTAAAAGAGGTGATGCAGAGGCAATAATACCTACATGTAAATGAATAAAATAGGTGAGGGTGGGCACCTCTATGGTGTTCCGGAGACTACAAATATTTTTAGTATCTTCCAGAGAATTGTACTTTCATACTATATATGTAAATGATTTTTGAAGTTAGAAGACTATTTATAGCTAAGTTTCCTCTGCTGGTACCAAATAAAGAAACTACACTTACTTTAAACATCTTCAATATCCCCTTCAGTGCCACTACAGTAACAGAGAAAGATAGAATTTGTGCTTCCTGATATGTCAAAACATTTTGTAAATAACTACTCATCCAGAGTATTCTGTATTGCAAAAGTAAATACCTATTATATAATTGAAGCCTATTATATAATTGAAATACAGATATGCAGATGATACCACTCTAATGGCAGAAAGTGAAGAGGAACTGAAGAGCCTCTTGATGCGGGTGAAGAAGGAGACTGCAAAAGTTAGCTTGAAACTCAACATTAAGAAAACCAAAATCATGGCATCCAGCCCTCTCAATTCCTGGCAAATAGATGGGGAAGAAATGGAGGTAGTGACAGATTTTATTTTTCTGGGCTCAAAGATCACCTCAGATGGGACTGCAGCCAAGAAATTAAAAGACGCTTGCTCCTGGGGAGGAAAGCTATGGCAAATCTAGACAGCATTCTAAAAAGCAGAGACATCACCCTGCCAACAAAAGTGCGTATAGTCCAGGCCATGGTTTTCCCAGTTGCAATGTATGGCTGTGAAAGTTGGACCATAAGAAAGGGTGAGCGCAAAAGAATGGAGGCCTTTGAACTATGGTGCTGGAGAAGACTCCTGCGAGTCCCTTGGACTGCAAGGCGTTCAAACCAGTCAGTCCTAGAAGAGATCAACCCTGACTGCTCTTTAGAAGGCCAGATGCTGAAGTTGAAACTCAAATACTTTGGCCACCTAATGAGAAGGAAGGATTCACTGGAGAAGAGCCTAATGCTGGGAAAGATTGAGGGCAATAGAAGAAGGGGACGACAGAGAATGAGATGGCTGGATGGAGTCACTGAAGGCAGTAGGTGTGAATTTAAATGGACTCCAGAAGATGGTAGAGGACAGGAAGACCTGGAGGAACGTTGTCCATGGGGTCGCGATGGGTCGGACACGACTTCGCAATTAACAACAACAACATATAATTGAAATACCTGCAACAAAATTGGTTTCTTTGTTCCTTTTCTTAGAAGTTCCTAGTGTACAACAAAAAGTTCCCAGTACTAAGAAATTTTTTAATGGAGCCCTGGGATTTTCTGGTAGATTTCTAACATGAATTGTTAGAAAAACAAAATTCTCTTCATAAGATATCTTTTATCAAGACCATTTGAGAATTATTTGCTCAGTTATTAGATTCCTGATAACACATCTTGTAAGTAGAAAATTTAATATAATCAAATGTACTTGAAGTTTTAATCATGGAAAAAAGCACTTTATATTTTTAATGAATTATATTTATTTGACAAATAGAACTTGCTACAAGACATGCAACTGAGGATGTGTTGAATATGGTACAGGTTTTCCAGGAAGATTCAGGACAACCACGTAAGTGCTTCAAAATATAAAATGTTAAAATGCGGAAAAGCATATAAGCTATTTTAGGATAACTGTCTCAAATCACTTTCTTCTAAATTGTTAGGCTACAAGTTTAGCTAACTTGATTTTTAACTATCATAATTCTTTATGTTTTCCAAAACTTGCAAAATGTGGCTGAAGGGATTGGATTTTTGAAAATTTAACATTAATAATACTCTAAGGTAAATATACTAGATAGAATATAGTACATAAATGTATGCTTAAAAAACAGATTATTAGTAAAAACAATATGCATAAACAGAAAACAGTACAAACTTTGAAACTGCAATAATATAGGCTTGCAATACTCTGGCATAGCCTATTTATAAAAAATTCTTTTAAATATATCTTTCTTAAAAGCTTTTAATAAAATCTTTTTATGAAAAAAATTGAACATTTTTGTAGTAATTAATATGATTAATGGGTTGATTTGATAGATTATGATGCCTTTATTACATTTACTAATCCAATTAAAAATCAAGATATTGGAAAATATTACAAATTGTCAATAAGAACTTTCATATGAAAAAGTACTTTTGGAAAAAATTAAAAAGTCATCCTATTTATCAAATTAACCTTTGATTTATAAGTTTGAAACATATTTGCCACATTAAAATATGGATAAAATATGGATAGGAGATTTGTAGATTCAGAAGCAATAAAAATAAATGAGGTAAAATATGGCTTATTATGAAATGGCTTATTAAACCAAACATAGCAAAAGCATGATTTAGACAGATATTTTAGACAAAGAATAAAACTTGATATGGCAGCTTTCAATAGAATAGAATAGACACAAGACAATATCTCATATCTCTTTGGTTGCTAGGAGCCTTTATCATCACTAGAAGCAGCTTCAGGTATTTTTCAGAATTATATTGATAATAGACTTTCAAACTGGTATCTCTTGGACAGTGTTAACCTTGAAGGTTTAGTGACTGTGCTCTAGACAGATTGCCTGACATTTCATCAACATTTGTGACTGGCACCATCAGAAGGCAAGGTGCTCTGCATTAAATTCACAGATTTTTTTGAGAAATATTTAAACTGAACAATGGGGGACAGTGAGTTAATTGATATAGAACATTCCTGTCCCCGGCAATCTAAAACTAATAGGGTTATCAATGCATGTAACATAAATGTGTGTGTGGATAAGAATATCAAGCTTGCTGTCAAGCAAAATCAAGTTTTTAATAGTGAGTGCCACACCAAAGGCACTAATCAAACAGGTGGGAAGGAAATAAGGGAACTCAGGCACCATATAGATTATGTAGAAAGTAAACACAGGGTCAGTCATAAAGGACTCAAATATTTATATACCAACGCACAGAGTATGAGCAATAAACAGGGTGAATTAGAAATTAGGTAAATGAGGGCAGATATGATATTGTTGCCATTATGGAAACTTGGTGGGATGAAACCCCAAATGGAACACACAGATATAGAGATTTAAATTATTTAAAAGAAACAGACCAAATAAAAGAGGAGGTGGAATTGCTCTCTATATAAGAAATAACTACATCTCTACAGAAATAGAACACAGCAATGATGAAAATTGTCTTGAATGCATTTGGGTCAACATAAAAGGGGAGAAAATGACATTGCCATAGATGTATCCTATAGGCCATCCGACCAAACAGAGAAAATAGATGAACTTTTTGCTAGTCAGTTAACTAAGATATGTAGGAAGCACATCACAATAGTCATGGAAAACTTTAATTACCCTGACATCAACTGGGAGACAAACTCTGCACTGAGGAAGATCAATCAGATTCCTGATAACCCTAGCAGAACTAGGGGATCAGCCATATTGGACTTAATTCTCACTAACAGAGATGAAATGATAGAAGGTCTTGAAGCCACAGGCACCTTGGGGGGGGGGGGAAGTGATCATGCAATATTGGAATTCAAATTTATTCAAGCACAAGCAATAGAACATAGTCAAACTAGACTCTTGGACTTTAAGAAAGCTAATTTCAATAAACATAGAGAGAGCTTGGGAAGATTCCATGGATGAGAATCCTCAAGGGGAAAACAGCTTAAGAAGCTTGGGAAATTTTGAAAAGTGAGATTATAAAAACCCAGTCTAGCACAATACCAATGAAGAAGAAAAATAAAGCTCTCAAAAGAAACCAGCATAGCTACATAAATAACTCTCTGATAAATTAAAAGATAAAAAGCACACGCATTAAAAATGGAAAGAGGGGCACATAACTAAGGCAGAATATCAGCAAATAGCACGAACTTGCAAAGATGAAGTGAGGAGAGCTAAGGCTCAAAACAAACTAAGACTTGCAACAAAAGTCAAAAATAACAAAAAAAAGCTTCTTTCAACATGTAACAAACAAAAAAAAGTTAAGGAAATGATGAGTTCATTAGTGGAGAAAGTGGCAAAAAGGTGACAAGCAACAGGGAGAAAGCAGAACTACTTAACTCGTTTTTTTTTTAATCTGTCTTTTTACAAAGGGAAAAAACAGTCCAATCTATCAAAAATAGTACTGTAAAAAACGGAATAGAAACACAAGTTAAGATAGGCAAGAAAATGGTAAGTGAGCACCTGTCCATCCTAGATGAGTTCAAATCAGCAGGACCAGATGGATTATATCCCAAGATTCTGAAGGAACTGGTACATGTGATCTCAGAACCACTGAACTATATATTTCAAAGATCCTGGAGTACTGGAGAACTGAAATATCAGAGGATTGGAAAAGAGCTGATGAAGTTCCCATCTTCAATAAAGGGAAAAAAATGGATCCAGGAAACTACAGACCCATCAGCCTGACCTCAATATCTGAGAAGATTCTGGAAAAGATAAGCAACGAATTAGCGAACACCTAGAAGTAAACAAAGTCGTTACCAAAAGTCAACATGGGTTTGTCAAAAACAGATCATGCTAGACAAATTTATTGCATTGTTTGACCAGGTGACAAAATTAGTGGACTAGAGGAATGCTGTGGATATAATGTACTTGGACTTCAATAAGGCATTTGATAAAGTAGACCACAACCTACTACTTGATAAGATAGAAAAATGTGGGTTAGACAGCATCACCACCAAATGGATTGTACCTGGTTGACCGTACTCAACGTTTGGTCCTCAATGGAACTGCATGGAATAGCATCTACATGGAGGGTAGTGTGTAGTGGGGTGCCACAGGGCTCTGTTCTGGGCCCAGTGCTCTTCAACATCTTCATCAATGATTTGGATGAGGGGATAGATTGGGAAGTCATCAAATTTGTAGATGACACCAAGCTGGCAGGAATAGCCAATACTCCAGAAGATAGGCTTAAGATATAGGAGGATTTTGACAGACTTGAACATTGGGTGCTATCTAACAAAATGAAACTCAATGGTGAAAAAAAATAAGGTTCTACATTTAGGCAAGAAAAACTAAATGCACAGGTACAGTATAGGTCAGTGGTGGTGAACCTATGGCACATGTGCCAGAGGTGGTATAGAGTCCTCTCTGTGGGCACAAGCACCATGCCCTAAAGATGGCAACCATCCATCTTCAACCAGCCGCCACTAATTCACTGAGGTTCCATATGGCCGAATGCATCACAGCACAGCTGGTTTCCTTCCCCCTGTCCCATCCCTCCTGCCCTCGCACGCTCTCCTTTTCCTGGGCACGACCTACTGCATCGCCTCCTCAGCTGTCGAATGGCCGTCCAGCTCAGAGGCGGCTTCTCTGAACTGCTGGTGGCGGGCTGTGGAGCCCCAGAGTGCGCTGGTCGAGGGGCTGGCAGGCTGTGGCTGCTGATGGACACTGTCGGCCCCCATACACTCGCTGGCTTCTGTGTGCGGGGGGGCGATGATGTCAGTCAGCAGCTGCCCCAGCCCCTGCCTCGCCTTGCCCTGCGACAATGGCACCCCCGCCCTGCCTTGTCTTGCCTCGCTTCATCCCACAGGACCAGCCTCCTGCCCACCGCCCCACCTGACAGACCCCCCTGGATCTCCCCCAACCTTGCCCGGCCCCCATAGGCATCCCTTCACATGAGCAACATTGAGGTGACCATGCCCACCTTGGCCACACCCACTCAGTCTGTCATGACCACCACAGCCACACCCACCCAGTGGGCCACGCCCACCTGGCACCGGGTGATAAATAAGAGGGTTTTGGGTTGCAGTTTGGGCACTCGGTCTCTAAAAGGTTTGCCATCACTGGTATGGGTGGTACTTTGCTCAGTAGTAATAACTGAGAGGGATCTCGGAGTCCTGGTGGACAGTCACTTAAATATGAGCCAGCAGTGTGCTGCAGCTGTCAGAAAAGCCAATACAGTGCTAAGCTGCATTAACAGTGGGATAGAATCAAGATCACATGAAGTGTTAATACCACTTTATAATGCCTTGTTAAGGCCACACTTGAATACTGCATCCAGTTTTGGTTAACATGATGTAAAAAAGATTTTGAGACTCTAGAAAGAATACAGGAGAAGAGCAACAAATATAATTAGGAGACTGGAGGCTAAAACATAAAAGGAACGTTTACTGGAATTGGGTATGCCTAGTTTAATGAAGAGAAGTGACATGATAACAGTGTTCCAATATCAGTTGCCACAAAGAAAGGGAGTCAAGCTATTCTGCAAAGCACCTGAAGGCAGGACAAGAAGCAATGGATGGAAACTAATAAAAGAGGTAGCAACCTAGAACTAAGGAGAAATTTCCTGACAGTCAAAACAATTAATCAGTGGAACAACCTGCTTCCAGAAGTTGTGAATGCTCCAGCACTGGAAGTTTTAAAGAATAGATTGGACAACCATTTGTCTGTTTTCTGCCAGAGCAGGGGGTTGGACTAGAAGACCACCAAGGTCCCTTCCAACTCTGTTGCTGTTGTGGTTGTTATGCATGCAGATTGCTATGCTATGTATATGGTACAGGCAACTGAACTGGCACTGACTAGCCTTTTCATTGATGTTTACCTCCGCTGGTTTTAATTGGTGCAGGTTGATGAAGGCTAGTCATAATTTTTTGTGGCTAATTCTCTGAAGATTCCTGGTACAGTTTCTAGGAAGATAAACCATGGTCATTAAACCCTGAAACTCAACACTATGCATTTTTCTTGATTATTTTGACTAGTTACAGCATTTTTTCTGAGATGGTCACTACTAAGGCTCATCTTTTACATGCTGTCAGTAAGTGAAAGTTTCTTGTGGTCATCAAAAACAAATATGGGTGTTCACCAAATCATTCCAGTTATTATATAGCACCTTGTGCTCAAAAGTCTGTGGTCATGCTATGCAGATAACAGGTCCAAAAAAGTAAAAGCATAAGAAAATTTGTATTACCAATTTGTATTATCAAATAACACTTATCATCTAAAAAAGAAAAATCATTCAGATTGGAAAAGAATGCACTCCATTAGGTGCTTGCTTTTCTTCTGCAGTCCCACTATACTTTTCATATCTATATAATGTTAGTTAGCTTAAGTTGGCTCCAAAGTAAAAAGGGATTTAAAATTTTCAGGTGCAACAAAAATAAAAGAGATGTTGAAAATATTTATTTAAAATAGCAGAATAATCCTTAGTAATTGGATTGACATAGTCAATTTATTTAAAAAGATAATCAATATTAAAAAATAAAATCCTTCCTGAATCACTCACGTTAGAAATGTTTAATATCTGATATTCAAGATTATTACAAATACTACAACTTTAAGAGATTTTGAATTTCTATGCTTGACCAACTAACCTACTAGATAAGAGATCCTTTTTGTAGAAGAATATTAATTTGCTGAAAAATATATATTAGAAACTATTATTAGAATTGAAATGATCGTATAATAGTTAATTGATTAACAGCATCCAGCTCATAAAGCTTTTTATATCTTCATCCATGTTGGAAAGAGAAGACAGGATTTGATCCCTTTTTGTTTAATGGCAGAGCTTACTGAACTATCTGAAGAGATAGAAAAATCCTTTACTTTCCATTTAAGAACTTCAAATTGTCCTGAGAAATGCAGACTGTAGTACTGGCTATAGAATCTTTAACACTGAAATTAAGTTTTATGCTGAATGGAATATAAACCCATATGATATAAAATTTCAGTTTTTGATCTCAAGGTAGTGCATATTTGATTCAAATCCTCAAAATTCATATTATAAATATTTAGATACTAGGTGAAAAAGTTTTTAAAGCAGTGAGAAATTCAATTTAATTTTATTTTTATTTCAATGAGGGCTAGACTAAGATAAAACTATTAGTTCCTCTATTGCCAAATCAGTAGGCTATTTTCCCTCAAGCAAGAAAAGAGTATTATGTTTTCTCTATCCTCTTTTTTTGTCCCATTATAAATCAAATAAAAGACCAGTAGTTTAAATAGAAAAGATTTTTTGTTCACCAATTAGACAGTCAGACTCAGAGAGAAAGTACTTAGCTCTGGAGTGATCCAGGTCATAAATTCAGTATGCTGCCAGGTCAGCCAGAAACTTGAAATGATTTAACAGATGTAGGAAGATGACAAAGAGCTGGAGTCTGGCTATTGGAAAAGATCTGGAATCTAGTTATTTCTCATGCACTTTATAAGCTGTGTGGTGCACAGTTTATAAAGTGCGTAAGGTTGCGTGTGGTGATGATAACAAGGGAGATCCTATTAATTTTGTAGTAAATACTTCACTGTGAAAAATATAATGTTTTTTATGTAAGGTATACTTTTATATAAGGTAGCCTTAATTAACCACCACTCATTCAGCAAATGTTTGAAGTTATTTTGATGTTGAACATTAGAACTGGTCATTGAAGTTCTGACCATCTCAGCACTCCCATGATCTTGTGATTGTGATCTGGGATTTTTGCAACAGGCCTATGCTTAAATGGTTGCAATGCTCTGATCATGATTTGTGACTTTCCTTGCTGGTTTCTCACAGGCAGAGTCAATAGGGAAGCTAGCAGGAAAGATCACAATCTGTTTGAATAAGTCTCCCCCATCTGCATATCTTTCTTATACTCATGCTGCGGTTTGCTGGACATACACATTTCTTGCAAACTATCCCCACATCTTGTACACCGTTCCAGCCATCTGCATACTCTTCCCCATTATATTGCAGCCACCCCAAGCCATGGACTTGGAACATGTTTCCCTGGCCACTTTCTCAACTTCTTGCTCCCTTTCCCACCTAGCAGCAGCCACTTATCTGCCTACTGGTCTTGAGAGCTGCCTGTGACTTGAACCTTTTTGCTGACTTCCCCACTGATTACTGGAAACTGGCAGGAAGTTTCAAGGAAGTGCATGTTTAAATCCCATTATACTTGCTTAATGTTGGCAATAGGGACTGCATGGATTGCCATCGCTAAATGATATTGTCATATGACATTATGTTTTATGAGAACAATGCTTAGCAATTGGGTCCTAATTGCTATTGTAACTCAAAGACTAGCAATAATAGTTGTGACCCTTTGTTAATTGATTTGGCACATGATTACCTCTAGCTTGTGTTTTGTAACTTGGTAATAGTAATAATGTCAATTTAGAGTAATAGTAGTAGTAGCAGTGAGATTTTTACACAATCTTGTGCAATTGCTTTACATCTATTTCTATTTCTAGATCAAAATGTTAGATATCAACCTAATAATTCTTTTTATAATTGTTCAGAAACAATTGAGATGATGAACAATCGCATGATAGAAATAATGAAAGTATTTGAAAGACAAACAAATAAGTTACACAGGTAAATCAAACATAATGATGCAGATGGGGAAGGGAAAGTTTCATTTTATCTTGTGTATTTTGGGTTAGTTTATGTGACATGGCACAAATAACTAAGCGGTTCTTAGAAAAGAAACCTACAAAATTTCACAGTAATGTGCAGAAGTAAGGAACTTATAGAGAATAATTATATCTGTCTGTCTTTCTGTCTATCTGAACATTATATATAATATATGTGTGTATGTGTGTGTAATATTTATAATTACAAAATATATATTATATGAACATATAAGTTATAGTAAAATCATTGCTTTCTGCTCAATTTATTCTAACTCCCCTGGCCAAACCTCAATGTCTCTCATTAAAGAATTGTGATTTATTTTAAATCATAGAAACGTTAGAACAGAGGTGTCAACCTGCTGGCCTGTGGGCTGATTGCATCATGTGGCGGTTGCACACCCTACAGCTCCGGCAATGAGAAAAAAGTCATGATATGTCACAATACATCACATGACACAGCGAGTTTGACACCCATGCATTAGAAGATAGATCTGCTAATAAAAAAAATGTACTTTGCTATCTCTTTTCTGGAATCTCACAGGAAAACATCAAAACATTATATTCCTTGAAGAGCACTATATGTTAATTGCTTCAGAAAATATTACTTTATCTCAGGCAGAATTCTGGATTTCAAAGGATTTTTTCAAATCCTAATTTAAAACTATCTGAAATGAATGAAAACTTTGATCAGACACAGAATTCTTTCTGATAGGACAGAGGTGGAGAAAAAAATATTGAATGGTTTTATTAGGCTCTTGTTCATCAGAAAGGAGCTGGTATGTGATTACAGTGGTACTTAAAAGTTCGTGAACTTTTTTGAATTTTAAATATTTCTACATAAAATATGACTAAAATGTGACCTGATCTGTACATAAATTAGATAAAGAGAATCAAATTAAACAAATGAGTTAATAATATTATCCCTGTTAATTGATTTATTGAGGCAAATACCTTCAATCATGGTATAGAATCTAAGAATTTAAATAGACATAAAAAAACAAGGGCCAGCAAACAAATGGTAGCCCTTCTCTTGCCACATAACTTTTCACATCCTGGAGATCCACAAGCTGAAAAAATCCATGACCCTTTACACATGTTTTTTTAAATAAATATTTTATTAATTTTCTAATTTTACAATCATAAGTATTTAATAAGTAATATAGTGTCTGGGTCTATTAGTAATTCAGTGGTACATATTAATTTTTCTCAGTCTAGTCCAGGGTTGGCAACCTTAAATACTCAAAGAGCCATTTGGACCCATTTCCCACAGAAAAAAAAAAACACCAGGAGCCACAAAACCCTGCTGCTTCTTCCCCCACATGGAGCACCCCACCGCCACTATTTCCCCCCACCTGCCCAATGGACCGCTCCACTGCCGCTGCTGCTTTCTCTCTGCATGGAGCATCCCGCTGCCATTGCTTCCTCCCACTCCCCATCAGAGCTCTTCACTGCTGCTGCTGCTTTCACCCCGCATGGAGAACTATGCCATCACTGCTTCTCCCCATCCACCCTCGACAGAGCGCTTCACCACCGCTGCTGCTTCCCCCCCACATGGAGTGCACCACTGCTGCTTCCCCCAGTGGTGAAGATGGAGTTTGGGAGGCAGTGGCAGGGCATAGCCCAGGCATGGCCCAGTAGCAGTAGCAAAGCTTGTCCTACCCACTCTCAATAAGGTGGGCCCACATGAGCGAGGAGTACACCAGGCTCTTATTGTTTGAGAACAATCCCACTGCTGCACCTCTGCTTTCTTCAACTCGGATGGAGCAGAGGCACCCAAGCTGCTGGCAGCTGCTTGAGTGGGGAGGACGAGGAGGAGGAGAAGAGGGGTGAGGCTTTGTTCCAGCTGGCCAGCCAGGCAAGGAGCAGGTCAGGTGATGGTGGCTGGCAGGCTGAGGGGGATCTTCCAAGCCTTATGGCAGCAGCAGTGGTAGCTCCCCCCACCTGGCCCGTTTCCCCAACTCTGTACAAGATGCTTTGAAGAACCCCCCCTTCCCACCCCCAATCAGACCCAGCTCCCACATGATCCTCTGTCACTTCCTCTTCCACCATGTGCAGTCCCACAAACAAAAAAAGTTTGTGGGACTAAAAAAAAGTGCAATCAACTCCAACTTCTTGCAGAAAAAAATAGATCTCACGAAGTTGGAATTGACTGAACTTGACTGAATGTTTTTTTTAGTCCCACAAACTTATTTTGTTTGTGGGACTGCACACTACATCGGAGCTGGAAAAAAGGTTTTGCGTGGGTCTGATCTGGGGCAGGGGGGGGTTCTGCCAAGCATCCTGGCAAAGTCTTTGGTGGGTGCGACGTGATGCGGCTCACCCGAAAGCGGGCGCAAAAACAAGTGGGGTGGCGTGAGACAGATCCCCCTCACCTGCCTACCCACCCTCTTTCACTCCTCTTCCAAGCCCTCTTCGCAGCTCTGCCCACATAGCCATCGAAGCGGTAGGTGGAGCGCCAGAGCTGGAAAGCGCCTGCTTTCCACCTCCATTGCATTTCTCTGCCACGGCGCAGCTGGAGAGCTTGCCCCACCCACCACCACCCAAATGCCCTTGCTTGCTTCCCAAACCATTTCTTTTCTAACCTATCCAGCTCTGATGCAGTCCTCCATCACTTCCTCTGCCGCCATGTGCAGTCCCACAGACAAAAGAAGTTTGTGGGACTAAAAAAAAGTTCAATCAATCAATTCCAACTTCACAAGATCTTTTTTTTCCATGAGAAATTGGAATTGATTGATTGAACTTTTTTTTTTAGTTCCACAAACTTCTTTTGTTTGTGGGACTGCACATGGCTGCGGAGGACAGGGAGCTGCAGCAGAGAGATAAAGAGCTGCATGCAGCTCTGAAGCCGTGGGTTGCCAACCCCTGGTTTAGTCCAATACTACATCATCCAGTACTTCCTTGGTCCCCTCTTCTTCCGCTAGTATGTATTTTTCCATACTGGGCAAATACACTTCTTGTTACTGTTAATACATGTACAATTAAATCTGGACATCTTCATCACATTTTTCTGGTATTATACATAATATCAATAGTATCAATATATAATATCTTTTCTAGCCAAAATATATCTCAATTGCATTTGCACTTAAAATCCATTTATTCAAACAATATCCTGTTTTTCCCGCTTTTTAAAAATTTTGATTTCCCATCAGTGTTCAAAATATCTCTATCACTTATAATTTTCTCATAATAAATTTTATTTGGGTAGCCAAAAGTTCCTTTATTCAAACCCTTTTCAAATTTTCATATTTCTCATCTCATAACAAAGTATAATATTCTAGTTACAAATCCTATCCTTCTAGTTATAATAATACTTTTATTTCTGATAGTTATCTATTTTCTTAGCCATATTCAAACATCTGTTTAGTAGTATAATATCCCATCTAATAGGATAGAACCTCATTTTTTTTCATTTTTACTCTAGCTTTCTTCCTTGCCAAATAATTTTCCAAGTCAATACATTTAAATCATCAAGTAGTTATTCCTGTATTTTGTATATATTGTTTGGAATGAGGAAAAGAATTAGGTTGAAGTGTTTTTGGAAGAATGTTCAACCCATTTATATTCATTAAACAGCTTCCATCCTTCTTCAGTTTTTCTTTTCTTGTTTGTCAATATTCAGCATTTCTCTTAACAGCTTTATCATCCATTTGATCAGCTCTTTTTCCTTGTCCTCAAATGTGTTCTGAGATCTTGACAAGTATGATGTCTTTTCCATTTCCGTGTTATCACTGCATCGTCTGATTTTTCATTTGTCTGTAGCTGTCTATTAATTCCTTCCTTTAGGTCCTCCATCTTTGGATCCATTTCTTCTAATTTTCCTTCTATTTTCTGAGTTATTGGGTTGCAGTCATTGTCTGGATTTGTAAGTTTAAGTTAGAAAATTGTTCTTTTATCTCATTTGTATTATTTTAGTCTCATTCTGAAATAAAGCAATTGTTTCTTGGATTGATTTCAACATGGAAAAAATTTCTTTCTGAGATTCATTAACATTTTCTTATTGAGAGCTTTGGAGACAGGTTTTGAAGATGATTTTTTTTACCATTTAATGGAATATGGAACACTCATTTTGTTTTTGTATGTAGTCTTTATAGTTCAATAGGGTCCCCAACTCAGATAAGCAGCCCAAGAGTTTTTGTTTTTCCCTTTTCCCAGCTGCAGTCTGCAAAAGTGAAAGTGTCCAGGAACAATAAAGAGTCTTATCTGAGTCTGGGCTTCAAGCCAAGTTTCCCTTACGCATAATAAATTGTAATGCCATAATTCTCTACTAGATGTTGTTGACACTGTCTTCCAGCTTTGCAAATCCAAGCTTATTTTGCAAACTTTCAAATATTTTTTCTAAAAAAAGTCTCAAAGATACTTTTAGTCCCCAAATATCAAAGCTATAGTTCTGTATTAGTTCCAAATTGATCTTGTAGTTTCCTCTGTTTTTCCCAAGACAATTAATTTGCCACTTTTCTTTTCCTGAGGGAGCAGGACAATAACTTCCCTTCCCTCTCTTATCGGGGAGGATTCTTTGCTTTGGGCATTCTTTTTTCCAGGAAAGTAGTGTTAGGGCCATAAAAAGAGGATAAAGTCTCACCCAGTTCTATTCATGTTGCTCATAGATTGCTAGTTAGTGCTTGTCTTCAGTTGTCAGCAGCTTCTGACTGGCCACACAAATGTAGCCAGTCTTTCCCCCGCGAGTTTGGAGGGCTTCCTCTGATCCAGCGGAAGGGCCGCCACCCCTCCGTGATTGACAAGGGTCCCGTCCTTTGTTGCCTCTTCGGGCTTTTTAGGGTCCCCAGCGGGGCAAAATCGAACGTGGAAGGCGGAGCTCCATCTTCTTGCGCTGGTACACCGTGGCATCAAACTGGAAATCCTACCTTGACACATGCTTTTTAACTCCTAGCTATCACTGCCCAAATGATAAAGAGGAGTATAACTTTTCCTGAGTTCTCTCAAATTTAGGTATTGTTTTTTGGCTGTTTTTAAGTTTACATTTACATTTTTACTGAACTTAGTGACTGTTTAGTCACAATGATAGTTTGGTTGTAGCTTGCCTATTTATTAATTCACTTCACATGAAATGGTTTTGAAATGTATCCATAAATTGCAATAGGTAAAAAATTCAAGAACTAGGTTACTGATTGCTACACAACACAGGGAATGTGTTATGATTGTACTACAATCTAAGATGCTGGTGTTGACATTTCAAGCTTTTAGTGTCTTTGATTCTGATTGTCTACTGGACAACTCTCCCTCTATGCCTAATAAATCTGGTGAATTGTGCTTCATAATTGATCTTCATGAGTGTGAATTATATTGTATGATTTATGTTGTTTGCTTAGCTAGTATCCTATGACTATCACTAAGTGTTGCCTCTTATAATTTATGATGAAGTGTTGTATTTTATGATTTATGATGAATGTATTTTTATGTTGTTTATAATCATGATTTATCACTATTACTTGTATGTACACTGAGAGTTTACACATCGGAGATAAATTCCTTGTGTGTCCAACCCCACTTGGCCAATAAAGAATGCCATTCTATTCTGAGGTCCTTTTGAGCATGCCCACATTTACAGTAGAGGTCCTTGGAAGATGGCCTTCTCCCATTTGGTTTCCACAAGGAGATTCATTTGATTCCCAGTTTCCCAGCATTTAGGAAGATGATAAAAACAGTACATTTTTAAAGCTTTTAGCTATTAGCTATTTAAATTACTACTTTTAATTTTGATTTTAATTAAATTAATTTAAAATTGTACTCTAACTTATTGTAAGACAACTAGAATATTGTGCTAACAGAAAGGTAGAATATAAATTCTCTAAATAAATGTTCAATTTATTTAGAAATTACTGAAAGATTAAAAGGAAAAAATCAATAAAATATTTATATTTTTTAGAGTTGTAAATGAACAGGATGTGCTGGAAGGTGTAAGTAATAATTTTTATTTTTCTTTCAATTCTTAAATTAATAATTTGAACAAAATTCAATGATGCAGCCATTGCTTGGCTAGCAGCTATCTCGGTTAGTGACCATTCACAAATACAACAGTAACGAAGAGTAATAAAATCACTTTCTGACCAATGCATGCATTTATGACCAAATTGTATATGCTTGACAACAAAAGTATCAGGGTGAAACTGATTAATGTGTGATCAGTTTCACACAACAGAGCAACTGACCAGAGGGTTCTAATCAAGTAATAAAGGCTGTAGTTGAGCTTAACTTGCAATTACATATTTTGGGAAGTGCTGCTCTGTGGAGAAAAGCAGCTTAGGAAGATATAGCTTTTTGAAGCAATTATTCCCTGCAAAAAGACAACAACAACAACAACAACAACAACAACAACAACAACAAAGTAAGGAGGGACAGATGAGGCACAAGATACCTAGGAGAGAATTTTATCTGAATGAGATGGCAACAATCAGTGATCATTGCAGCATAATTCCCTTAGTCAATATGCTCATTTAGCAACCATTGTGCTTAATGATCAAGTCACTGGAACAGAATGTAATTGCTAAACTAGAAATGGGTGTACCAAAAATAATGATATTCTGCATACATATAATGTATACATACAAGGGTTTGATTGTATACAATCAATTAATTGGAATTACATATTTTTGCTCTGTTCAATGTTGAGCTGCTCACATAATATTCTGTTCATTCTCATACATGCCTATCTTCTAACATATATCAAGCTTAACACATGTTAGCACAACTATTTTTACTCTATATTCATAAAAAATGTTCTATACTATTTTATACTATCCTTTACTTCATCTACATTTGTAATCCTCTCTTATATAATTCTTTCCAAAGGAGGGACAAGATTTCTTTTGAGGTCTCAAATGTTTGGAAGTACCTAGTTTTTGTTGACTCTTGCTTTTCTTTATATTAGAAATTACAGAAAATTCAGCAAGAATTTCGACATCTAACAGAAGAAAAAGAAATAATGGAGGATGAGCTTCAAAAAATGAAAGCTTCAGAGGTATCTTTGAATTAAATACAATTTTACTAAAAGAACTGAAGCTTCAAATATTATAATACATTTAAGAGCAACAAACTTTATTTAACATAGTTTTATTTCTGAGAATATGCGTAGAATAAGAATTGTCTATGGACCTGATTAAGGCAACAGTTTGGTGCTGATACCTTCTTCTAATCTATTAGGTTTTTTCTGAGACTATCCACATTGTATTGTTGGATAAGGATATGTCAGATCTATTTGTATTAAGATGGTATTCTTTTATTTTTTTTCTGGAGAAATGAGCACACCTAGTTTGTGTTGCTAAAATTTGGCCAAGAATAGAGAGGGTTATTCCTCTGTCCAAACTGGCTCTCAGAGGACTATGGGTAGGTGTCTATACTGAATTGAGCTTTATGGACAATGTATTGATTCTACTAATTTATTATTCACCTAATCTGCCTAGTGTTACATAGTGTTACTATCTATTTTTCTTACCCTCGTTTTTGACTTGGTGATTGAGTCCTTCATGCTATTAATGCTGGCAGCATCAATTTCTATTTCCTTGAGATGATGAATGAATCAGAAATTTCTGGCCTCCATGACAACTGTGGGCTTGTCCTAACTGATATTGATCCTTACTAGTGTAATGAATTCACACTGATCTAGTTTTCACCTTAGAGCAACTGAAGCTTGATTTAAAGATTGAGAATTTAATCACAGACTCTGTGTCATATTTAGATCTCTTTCTGGTCAGCTTAAGACTGTATGGGGATTAAATTACTCCTCTTCTTCTCTCTTAGTTATACTTGGTTTCTCTTCACATGGGAACTCATAGGAATTTTTGTATTTGATGAAAATGCCAACATGTTAAATCTAGAAATACAAACCTACACTTGTAACATTAGTTTCTCTTCTTGGGATATTTAAGAGTGGGAGGATTAATACTGAGGAGCAAATAGAACCATAATTATAACAGATTATAAAGTAATAAATCTATAAAATAATTTATTCCAAATATAAAAAGGACTAATGAGAATTTATTGATACCACCTATTAAAAAAAAGAATTGATTGAAAATGCTAAAGGTTAAGGTACATCAGAGAGTAAAAAGCAAGAAAAAAGAAATTGAAGTCCAGTGAAAGAATGACTTCATATTAGGATTCCCTGAAAGGATTGTGCAGAAGCACAGAAAGAAAAAATAATATCTCCAATCCAAACACCAACTGATAAGGGGTTCCATTAGAGAGGTTCAAAAAGCTCTCACCCCTAAATATTTTTAAAAATTAATTATTTTTATTTATTTATTTATTTAATTTAGCCATCCATCTCATCACCTATTAGCTATTCTTGACATACGATTCTGGGCGGTTTAAATGCATATTTATATTCATTATAAATATGAATATTTATATTCATAAATTTATAAAGTCACATTAGAATTACAATAAAATACAAGTTATAACTACAGATGGGGAGGAAGGGAGGAGAATATATAGAGATGGGGAAGGTGGGAACTATTATTGGTTGATCAGTCTCTTTGGCATGAAATTCCCCATCGGGGCCCCAAATTAACAGGAAGAATCAGGTCTTCTCTTGTTGAAAGTCAGGAGGATTTCAGGGATAAGATTTTCTTAAGGATTGCAGCCATGGCAGAGAAGACTCTAATTGGCAGGTGATTGAACTCAGTATTGAGGGCCTTGTCCACTTCCTCAGGTCCAAGAAAATCAAACTGTTTCCAGATAAATTGTTCTGATCCAGTCATACTGGCAAGGCAAAAGTTATGTTGAGTCCATTTGTTGCACTTAATACAGTGCCAAGTGATCCACCAATGGTGCCGGTGAAGCTCTATCCCAGCCCTCAGTTTTTCCTCAGTCTGAATTCTCCAGTTCCATGAAGTAAGTCATAGTTGACCTACGAGGCAGAGAGAAGTATCAATACCCATATGTACCAAATAAACATCATCAGTAATAACAATACTAGACCAAAGTGGCAGTAGTTCTTTCAGTGGCCCTTTGTGGCCAATGCAGGTTCATTCACATGGTCCTGTCCTGTGTCTATTTTTGAAGTCCACAAGGTGTGAAGTTACTTTAAGCCAAATTTAACCTGCCCTTCTGTTTCTGAGAATTGTGAATAAAAATTGGAATTAGTTGTTATTTAATTTAACCTCCTTGGGGATATTATCAAGGGAAAAGTGAGATCTACTGATTTTGACAAATGTATTAGAAATAATTCTATTGTCATTTGACAAATACACTATTAAATACAGCTGTACAAGAAACTGTATAATCCAGAACTGTTGCTCACTTTCTTGAATGCTTATTGACAGCAAGATAAAGGAATATCAGAGACAAGAAAAAAAGTATTACCAAAACTGGAGAAGGTGAAAATTGAAGAGAAACCACAAGTTCCTTCAGAAAAGGCCCAGGTGTAAGAAAAATGAGTATATAGACTAGTTAATTTTATAAAAATTGTGCTATAATGTTCAGAACACTAATGAGATTTGTATTTTTATAATTTAAAATAACTATCTTAGTTATTGGCATATTATATATTTCTTATTTATTTGTTCCTTTATTTGAAGTTATCTGAAAACTGTATGCCATTGTTAATATTATACAAGTTATAATTAAGAGTAATGAGAATTCAGTATCTTACAGGTCATGTTGCTCTCCACTGAAGTTTGGAAGGTAAAACCACTCTGACAAGTGGTAGATTTTAGTGGTAGATCATAAATCTCTTAATTTAACCAAAAATAGTGGTCTTTAGGGATAAGGATCAGAATACACAAACATGTTAACAGTGAAAACTGGCACTTTATATTGGTTTTGGAATGACTCAATAACTAATAAAAATTCTTAAAACTAGAACGAGGTTCCCTCAATAAATCATCTTATTTAAAATTCTGACTGCTGTATATTTTGAATTAACTGCAGCTTTTTATTGCTTTAGAAAGACTAACAGGATACAGTGTCCAGTTTTGGACACCACGATATAAAAAAAATGTTGAGACTCTAGAAAGAGTGCAGAGAAAAGCAACAAAGATGATTAGAGGACTTAAGGCTAAAACATATGATTTCTAAGGGGATAGCACAAAGAAGAGGGGGTCAATTTATTCTCCAAAGCACCTGAAGGCAGGACAAGAAGATAATAAAAGATAATAAAAGCACAGTCTAGCACAATACCAACAAAGAGGAAAAACAACAGCTCTCAAAAGAAACCAGCATGGCTGCATAAAGAACTCTCTGACAAATTGAAAGATAAAAAGGACAAGTATAGAAAGTGGAAAGAGGGGAACATAACTAAGTCAGAATATCAGCAAATAGTCTGAGCCTGCAAAGATGAAGTGAAGAAAGCCAAGGCTCAAAATGAACCAAGGCTTGCGACCAAAGTTAAAAATAACAAAAAAAGCTTCTTTCAACAAGAAAACAAGAAAAAAGTGAAGGAAATGATTGGTCCATTAGTGGGTGGAAGTGGCAAGAAGGTGACAAGCAACAGGGAGAAAGCAGAACTATTTAACTCGTTTTTTGCATCTTTCTTTACACAAAGGGAAAAAATAGACCAATCTATCAAAAATAGTGCCATAAAAAACAAAATAGAAACACAAGTTAAGATAGGCAAGAAAATGGTAAGTGAGCACCTGTCCAGCCTAGATGAGTTCAAATCACCAGGACCAGATGGATTACACCCCAAGGTTCTCAAGGAACTGGCAGATGTAATATTGGAACCACTGAACTATATTTTTCAAAGATCCTGGAACACAGGGGAACTACCAGAGGACTGGAAAAGAGCTGATGTAGTTCCCATCTTCAAAAAAGGAAAAAAAATGGATCCAGGAAATTACAGACCTATCAGCCTGACCTCAATACCTGGGAAGATCCTGGAAAAGATAATCAAACAATGAATCAACGAACACCTAGAGGCAAACAAAGTCATTACTAAAAGCCAACATGGGTTTGTCAAAAATAGATCATGCCAGACAAATCTTATTGCGTTCTTTGACCAAGTGACAAAATTAGTGGATCAGAGGAATGCTGTGGACATAATTTACTTGGACTTCAGTAAGGCATTTGATAAAATAGATCACAACCTACTACTTGATAAGATAGAAAAATGTGGGGTAGACAGAATCACCACCAGATGGATCCGTAGCTGGCTGACCGGCCGTACTCAGCGAGTGGTCCTCAATGGAACTGCATCTGTATGGAGGGAAGTGTGTAGTGGGGTGCCCCAGGGCTCTGTTCTGGGCCCAGTACTCTTCAACATTTTCATCAATGATTTGGATGAAGGGATAGATGGGGAACTCATCAAATTTGCAGACGACACCAAGCTGGCAGGAATAGCCAACACTCCAGAAGACAGGCTTCAGATACAGAAGGATCTGAACAGACTTGAACACTGGGCACTAACTAACAAAATGAAATTCAATGGTGAAAAAAGCAAGGTTCTACATTTAGGCAAGAAAAACCAAATGCACAAGTACAGCATAGGTGGCACCATGCTCAATAGTAGTAACTGTGAGAGGGACCTGGAGTCCTAGTAGACAATCACTTAAATATGAGCCAGCAGTGTGCTGCAGCTGCCAAAAAGGCCAACACAGTGCTAGGCTGCATTAACAGAGGGATAGAATCAAGATCACGTGAAGTATTAATACCACTCTACAATGCCTTGGTAAGGCCACACTTGGAATACTGCATCCAGTTTTGGTCACCACGATGTAAAAAAGATGTTGAGACTCTAGAAAGAGTACAGAGAAGAGCAACAAAGATGATTAGGGGACTGGAGGCTAAAACATATAAGGAACGGTTGCTAGAATTGGGTATGTCTAGTTTAACGAAGAGAAGGACAAGGGGGGACATGATAGCAGTGTTCCAATATCTCAGGGGCTGCCATAAAGAAGAGGGAATTAAGCTATTTTCCAAAGCACCTGAAGGCAGGACAAGAAGCAACGGGTGGAAACTAATCAAGGAGAGAAGCAACCTAGAACTAAGGAGAAACTTCCTGACAGTGAGAACAATTAATCAGTGGAACAGCTTGCCTCCAGAAGCAGTAAATGCTCCAACACTGGAAGTTTTTAAGAAGAGACTGGACAGCCATTTGTCCGAAATGGTGTAGGGTTTCCTGCCTGAGCAGGGGGTTGGACTAGATGATCTCCAAGGTCCCTTCCAACTTTACTACTATTACTAAGAAGCAACGGATGGAAACTAATCAAGGAGAGAAGCAACCTAGAACTATGGAGAAATTTCCTGACTGTGAACAATAAACAGCCTGCCTCCAGAACTTGTGGATGCTCCATCACTGGAGGTTTTTAACAAGAGACTGGGCAGCCATTTGTCTGAAATGGTATAGGTGTCCTACTTGAGCAGGAGGTTAGATTAGAAACGCTCCAAGATTAGTTCCAGTTCTATTATTCTACTATTAACTGTCCAAAGGGTGTCTCCATGTATATTGCAATGGTTCAACTAGAATATCATCAGAGCATAGATTACTTACTCTTTTCAGAAAACTAAAAGTAGATATACCAGTTGAAAATTTTAAAATAGCTTCCTTGTGCTACCAAAATTTTTTATGCTTTCTTATGCTAAATCAGAGTGCTAAATAATAGTTCAACTAGCCAAAGCATAAAGTGCTGTTGTAAATGTTGTTGTTTTACTTTGTATAGCTTTTTCTTTCTGTCTCTTTATGAATGTAAATATATGAATATACAACTGTACTTGACTATTTATGAGTGATTTAAATATGTTAACAAGCAGCACTTTATGCTTTGGCTAGTTGAACTAGTTTGAATTAGTTATACTGAACATATTTTATATTTTGAAAAGTGTTCACACTATACAGTATGCATAGATTGTGTTTTACATTTGTGGAGCCATATCATGTGAGCATTTCCTTTTGATCTCTTAGCAGTCTAGTTGCTATACTATGATGGTCTAATCATTAATTTGTGTTATATTTTCTTATTATAGAACACAGAAACCAGAGTCTGGTTTTGCAAAGGAAAAAGAACATATAAAAATGAAAGATGATTTAACTAAAGCTCAGGTAAAGGACAAATATGTCAATAAATATTTTATAGGCATGTCATCTCATTTAAAATTTGTATAAATTTTTAATGTTAAATTTTATAAAATTATTTTGTTTTCTTGTGATAAGATTATTTTTCAAGCGATTTAAGAAAAAATGTAAGAGTTCAGGATAAGAAAGATGGGCACAGAATTCAAGAAATTGCTTAAGAAAGATGGGTTACAAATTATACTGCTGAAAACACAGAAGGAGGGCTTATTCCTTCAGTCAGGTTTTTCTGATTTTATATCAGATAAATGTGATTTTAAAAATTCAGCAAGCAATAAATGGTTGATAACCAACTGAATTATATTCTCGAGGATGTATTAAGAAAATTGAATGAAATTTTTTATATCTTTATAATATGGAGGGGCAAGCAAACCTTTAAATTTGCAATCTGAATATAAATGAAACATCTAAATGTAAATTTAAATTGATATTGACATTGACATTATAGGAAGACATTCAATCCCTTCAGGAAGAGAAGAAAATGCTTGAGGAGAAGCTACAGAAAGCTTTAGAGGTATTTTGGGGAAGCCTTTTTGGGTTGCTTTAGGCAGAAATGTTTTTACATGTTTAGTTCTTGCATATTTAGTTATATTGTGACTTGAAAATTAATTCAAATAAGTATATAAAATTCCACTTTGATAATTTCCCTGATATTTCATAGCCTGATTTGATTCTTATGACTGGTTACAAAGACACAATATAGGAATTAGCAAAGCATGTTGTTCATGGCTTGCGGACTGAAGAAAATTTGGAAGATCTTTGGGATCCTTCTGAACTGTCAGTTGGAGTGATAGGTGTTTTTGAAGGCTGCAGATAATAATCGGGAGCAGACCATTTGCAGTTTGCTCCTGGTTGAGCAAGTAGAAAAAGGTATTTGATGCCCTGTGCTCAACTGAATGATTAACTGCAACTAACTAGTTCATTTGGTTAGTCAGGGGAAAATGGTGGCAGCAATGCTGCTGCTGTGCAGCTTTTTAACAGCAGGTGCAGCTGGGCTGAAGGGACTACCATTCTGATATGAAAAAAATTGTGATACAGTGATGGCAATATATAAATAGTATATATTAACATTAAAAATTTCCATAATAAAAAATCAATATTGTTAAAAAGGACTAACAGAGAGCATCTTCAATATTAGAAATGATGTAGCTATCTTAGTAATTCTCCAGTTTCTTGAGACCCCAAGCTGTTAACACAGCTATGTTCTGAGGGACTCCAGATAGCTGCCAAAGAAGAGACAATCTCATCTTGGGAGGAATGATATTCCACAAGGCAAGCACCACAGCAGAAAAACTCTCTCTCCTGGATCCTGCCAAATGTAAACAGTCGGGACCTGCAACACATTTTTTGCTTGGTCTGAGGGGACAGGGAGATGCAACTTGAGAAGAGGTGATCCTTTAAATAACCTGGCCCTGTTCCATGAAGGTCTTTAAAGGTGAACAACATCTTGAATTGGACTTGAAATAAGCAGGCAGCCAATGCAGCGGATGCATCAGAGTTATAATGTGTCCTTTTCATCACCAGCTGAAGCTTCCAAATATTCTTCACTGTCAGCCCCATGTAGAACTAATTACAATGGTGCATTCAGAAAGAATTGAGGCCTTTGAACTATGGTGCTGGAGAAGACTCCTGCGAGTCCCTTGGACTGCAAGGCGTTCAAACCAGTCAGTCCTAGAAGAGATCAACCCCGACTGCTCTTTAGAAGGGCAGATCCTGAAGTTAAACTCAAATACTTTGGCCACCTAATGAGAAGGAAGGACTCACTGGAGAAGGGCCTAATGCTGGGAAAGATTGGGGGCAATAGAAGAAAGGGACGACAGAGAATGAGATGGCTGGATGGAGTCACTGAAGCAGTAGGTGTGAACTTAAATGGACTCCAGAAGATGGTAGAGGACAGGAGGACCTGGAGGAGCGTTGTCCATGGGGTCGCGATGGGTCGGACACGACTTCGCAGTTAACAACAACAACAATTCAGAAAGTGACTAGGGCATGAGTGATCACTAGTAGACCCTTCTGATCCAGGAATAGAGGCAGCCTGTGCACAACATAAAGTTGTGCAAAAGCCCCTACTCACAACTGCCATCTGATCCTTGAGCAGGAGTTACAAGTCCTAGGAACCCTAGGTTTCACACCGGATCTGCGGCAATGAAACCCCATCTAGTACATTAGATCGTAAAATCCCAGAAACAGAAGGTGCTAAAAATCAAAGCTCCCATGGAGACAGATGATCTCACCCAGCAGCTTCATGTAGATCAGGGGTCCCCACCCCCCCGGGTCTCGCAGCTGAAGGTGTGTCTTCTATCACCAGGCATCTGGCGAGTCTGCAGGGATTGGGGCTGGGGTGGGAGAATGGCGGGGCAGAAGCTGACTTGCCCAGTACAAAGGTCCTCTGGCAACTGTGCTTGTAACTGGATTGCAATAGCTGAGCTCTGCATCATTCCTCCTCTTGCTTCTTCTGCTATCTCCTCTTCTGCCTCCTCCTCTTCCTCTTCCTGGTCCTGCCTCCACTTCCTCCTGCTGCTACTTCCTCCTCCTCCCCTTCTTCCTCACTTTCCTCCTCTCCCCCTCCTGGCATCCCAACTGGGCTTGCACCCCCTTCGCACAGCTCTCCAAGTTTACAAGATAAGTGCATGTCAATCCAGCTTGCAACCTGGGGCTTCCCCCAAAGTCTCATTGGAGGGAGATCCCTCCCAAGTTATGTTTTTGTGTGGGTGCAAACAGGCAGGGAGAAGCTACCTTTCATCTTAAGCTCTGCATCTCCAAGGGAATTTCTCTCTCATTTATATCTTTTCCAAGACCGTTGTGCTCCATTGCACTCCAATGGAGTTTTTTCGTTTTGTTTTGATGCTCCAGGATGCCTTGTGTTTTGGCAACATCCTGTCTGCTTTCTGTGGTTTAATTTGATATGTGTATTTGTGTGTGTGTATGTGTGTTTAAAAGGCTTTGCAACCTGAGGTAGCTGTATGCTTCGGGTTTCTTTGCAAAGAGGCTTTGTGATACGCTGAGTTGGTTTGGTCTCTCTTGTTTTTTTAATTATTTTCTTAGCACTTCCTCCTCCTACTTCTTCTTCTTCCTCCTCCTCTTCTTCGTCATTTTCCTCCTCTCCCCCTCCTGGCACCTCAATGAGGCTCACACGAACTGCACACTTGTCTCAATCACAGTTTTGGTAAACCCACACATTAAACCTAGCCAAAATGAGTAAAAAACAAATGTTACTAGAGAGTTTCTTTGAAAAGGGGAAAAGACTCAATGATGAGACAGCAGAAGACTCTAAAAGTACCAATAAAAAGAAAGCTACATTTAAAAGAAAATACCAAGAGTCTTACTTAAATTACAAGTTCATCTCAACAGGTGATTCCCATGCTGCAAGCCCGCTTTGTATAATATATGGTGACTGGCTATCCAATGAAGCCATGAAATCTTCAAAAGTACTTTGCCACATGGAGACCAAGCAGCCTACATTAAAAGACAAGCCTTTGGAAGTTTTCAAAAGGAAAAAAAACGTGAACACAAACAGAAGCAATTATTGAAGGTCACCACTTCAGCAAATGTGTCTGCACTGAGCATCATTCTTAGTCGCTAATTGCATTGCTAAAGCTAAGAAGCCCTTTACTATTGGTGAGGAGTTGATTCTGCCTGCTGTTAAAATGTTATTTTCATTTTTATTGCCAACCAACACCACAGGTGCATATTGGGAAAGCTGAATTGGTCATTTTGTGTTGGTATATGCACAAATGGAGTAGCTTGTTTAAACTTGTTTACTTGTACGATATATATTCAACCTGCTCAACTAACTCAGTCTGTCACTTTAGGGGCGAATGACATCTGAGTTCAAGTCAACAGATAAAGTGACTACATTCAAAGCCAAATTGAAATTTTGGAGACAACAAGTGAACATTCTTGACATGTTTCAACATTAGCAGAGATTTTCAAAGAGACTGAGCCAGGGCCTACTTTCTTCCAGCTGGTGCATGATCACCTATCTCAGTCTTCAAAAGAGTTTGAGCATTATTTCCCAACCACAGAAGATACTCAGACTGGGAAAGAATGGAATTTGTGAATAAGCCAGGTAGATCAATTTTGTCTATGTTAGAAGAGGCTTTAAAAGTATATTTGAAACAACTTTATGGCTCCATACATTCTGAATAAAAGTCAAGACAGAATATTCTAAGATTGCCACAAAAGCACTGAAAAGCTGCTTCCATTTCTAATATCTTAACTTTGTGAAGTAGTGTTTTCTGCAATGACAGCAATCAAAACATGTGGTGATACTTTTGGGGGGCATGATTGTGGTTTGCAGCCTCACAACACCCTTTGCCTGGGATGAGTGGTGTATGACGTTCTCCAGCAGGATGACTGTAGAATCCACTGGATGGGTTATTACAGCCTTCCTGCTCAGCAGACTAGGTCTGAACTTTGGCCATGCCTCTCCTTTGGGCGTGTCTCCCAGTTTTGACTTAATCTTGAGCTCAGCAGCATGTAATTTTTCAGGCTCCGTAGAAAGATTAGATTTTAAAAAAGTGAATTTCTTAGTTTAGACTTCAATTCGAATTTATTTGGTTGGATTTTAATTGGCAACGTTCAAATCGCTTGGCAAATTGACAAAATTTAACAGAATAGAGAGGTAGCCGGCGCCTGGCCTTCTAGTTTCGAGCTCCAGGCCTCCTGCCGATTCATTCCGATTGTTCCAAGAGCGTTTCCTTTATCGCATCAATCAGTCTCGAGCTTCGAACTTCGGCTCCCTTGCTGAATCAGACTGTTTCCACTTTTATCGGGCGAACCTTGGAGCGTAACCAGCAGCAACAGCGGCCGGCAGCCGCTCAGCTGAGGCGCAGAGAGCTTTTCTGCTACCAGAGCTGATCAGAGGAGCCATGCGGAATACGTGTTCCAGCCTCACAAAGGAGATGCGAAATCGCAAGTCACTTGTAGGGTTCTCTTTGCCCTGCCTCTAATAGGGAGTGCGGCTGCCATTTTGACCGCGTGTTTTCACTGGTGGCCGCCATTTTGAGGGCGTTTTTTCAGCCGACGCCATTTTAGGTGTGGTTTACAGACATCCACCATCTTGGGTGGGTCTACCTTCACGGAGATTCCCAATTTCTTCTATTGAGTGCAGGGAACATCAACAATACTTGCAGGAGGAGTATCCCATACACCCCTGGTCTGACTCGTCAGCCCCATATTGAGGGGGGAATATAAGCTCAGCTAGGCAGCAATTTACTGGGCTGTTCCTTTTTCTTGCTACTCTAGCAATACTGATTCCCTGGTGAAGGAGGGAGAGGGAAGACCCTTTTATTTCCAACTGTGCCAGTAAGGTGGCATTTTCACCGGCCTGACAGGTGTTTTTTTGGTGAAGCGCCTGACTGTCCAGCCATTGCGTTGCACAGAGTGAGGATTGTGTCCTTTCCATCTCTGTCAACTGGTCTGCGTCCTTGGATTTTCCCCCCCACCTCCAGGTATTTCCTACTCGGTATATCTGGTTCGCAATGGCAGACAGCGCTTCACCTTCAGCTTCAC